TTTCTATTACTTATATAGTAAGATAATCAGGGGAAGGGGTATATAGGGTTAGAGATTTGCAGACAGCAGACAGCAAGTTAACTAGAAAAATATAATTAAGTCTCCACTGTTCAAAGCCCATTTAAGGCTGAAATTATTGTTTTATATATATTTTTTATTGAAGTATTGTTAGTTTACAATGTATCAATTTCTGGTGCACAGCATAGTGCTTAAGGTTGAAATTATTATATTTAGTGATGCCATCTGTTCAGCAGGACAGTTTTCAATGATGAGATACAGGCATGGAGAAACATGCCAGTTCATCCAGGGTGAAGGACTTAGTTGGGGAAAAGAGGAGTGTTGGGACAGGCTTAAAAGTAAATAAGAGGGGGGCTGTAATGATGTTCCGTTGAGTCTAAGATGGATAAGGAGGGAACTGAAGAATGAGAATTAAGTAGAGGCTTTCAACAGATTGGAGGTTCTGATAAAGTGAAAAAACAGTTACGGTGAAGTTCTTGAGCAGTCAAGCTAAAGGATATCGGGCTGTGTTTGGACAGAGGAATGTTGGAACTACTGATTCGCGACATGATAGCATTTCTGGTGACAAGGTCCAGGTTTCTGACTGAGATTGGGAAGCTGATGTAAAAGATGAGGCCCGGATGTTAAACGGGTTGTCCACATTGACTCTGAAGTTATCAAGATGGAAGATAGAAAGTAAGACAAGGAGCTGGATGCACAAATAAGCAGGTGATCTCTACAGAGGCGGTTAAATGGGTGGCAAAGTCTTAAGAGTAAGCGTTAGAGAAGCAACGGTCTTTACAGAAGTGACAGTATTTGACACGTGGTCCCGCACTTTTGGAACTTGGGAAGTAGAATACTAACCCATGTGAGGGAATTCCAGGGGATGCAGCATTCTCAGCTGACAGCCAGGTCTCAATCCAAGAAGGAATTGGAGAAGTTCAGCAAAAAGCTGATCTAGAAGCGGGAATCTCTCAGGAAGACTGGTTTGAAGGTACGAGGTTAGGAAGCAGACTGAAGCAGCCAGAGACCCTGGCACTCCTTGTCTTTTATTTATCTTACTCCCTAACTACCGCCCGCCCGCGCTACACTAACCTCCACAACCAGAAAAGAGACAGGAAAGTGGCAGAAAAGTGTGTATGCAAACCGGCTCTTTTCAACTCCCCGCGGAAGTGCTCCCATCGGAACTCCTCACTGTCCGCGCTTTCCCATTGACGGAAGCTTCCGCCAGCCTGGACCTGCTTCCGCCCACGACTCAGTTAGGCGGGGCTGTGCCCAGAAGTC